ACCCTAAGAACCCCAAAACCTACTTTTTTTGTAGGGTCCCTATAAACCCCATAGTAGGGTTTATAATAAGAACCTACAAAAAAGTGGGGTTTTTGGGTTCTTAAGGTAAACCCCAAACCGTTTCCGGGCTCCAGGGTTTGGGCTTACCCAGTAGAGCTTCAAGTTCGAAAAAGCCTTGGGGTGCTTCGGGTTTCGGGCTTTTGCGGTTTAGTGCTGAGGGCTCGAGAGCAGGTATTTTCTGCTTTAGGGTTTGGGGATGTTTGAGGCTTAGGAATACTAGGCTTCTGCTTTCGGGGTCTCAGGGTCCTATTCAAAAAAGGTCTGTGTATTCCGAAACACACTCCCACATAACTTCTCCTACAAACCTGAACCCTTGCTAAACCCCAAACCCTACAAACTCTAAGCCTAAACCCGAAGAGCCGAGCAGTAACGCGGACACCTGATGCAAAACATCGCTCTCTGTAAAGGCCTCAGAGTACCGCTTAAGAGCCCGTTTACTTATATTTTAAGGATCCCTTTAACTACTGGTTTAGGATTCCTACTACTAATATTGAGAGCCCTACCACTGCTACTTTAGGATCCCGTTAACTCATGTTTGATGATCCCGATTACATTCGGCGATTTACTGATCAGGGGTCTACATTCAACCCTAACCCACAAACCCCAAACCCTAAAACCTAAGCCCTAAACCCAACCCTAAACCCCTCAAGGGAGCCCCTATGGATCCCTTAATGGAACCCTTAAAGACCCTGGCCTCAGAACATCCGCATTGAGGTGCTTACAACGGTCTCGTCGTGCTTGCACCAAGTCACCGCCCTTCCGAAGCTGAGAGAAGGCTGAGTTGTTTCGGGGTTTAGGGTTCGGGGTTTAGGGTTTAGGGTTCGGGGTTTAGGGTTCAGGGTTCGGGGTTTAGGTTTTAGGGTTCGGCGTTTAGGGTTTAGGGTTCGGGGTTTAGGGTTTAGGGGCGACCGGGTCGAAATACAACCAAACGGGGCAAAATACAACCGCACGGTGGAAAACACGACTGAACCACTATTATGGGCTAGCCCAAACGGGAGAAATTGCAACTGGCTATTGCGGTGCTTTTTTAATTTTGGACATTCTCTGGAGAAAACCCATGGTACAGCCTTAAGGGTCCAGCACCAAAGCTAGGTAAAGGTGGTTGTGATTCGTCCCTTCTCTTTGTGTCCTTGCAAGAATGAGGACTTAACATGATTATTTCGGTTTGTATGCTTTCGGTCATGTAGGTACGAACGACATGTAGGCAATACTTAACATGATTATTTCGGTTTGTATGCTTTCGGTCATGTAGGCCCGGCAGGCATGCAGGCACTCGGAGGTTTTGTATTATCTTGTGTTTTTCACCCATCTAAACCAATTTCCAGAGATTTGAATTGTTTTTTTGCCAGTCTGGTTGTGATGTAATTCGCCTTATTCCCGGGTTTAGGGTTCAGGCTTGAGGGGTTCCTTAGTTGCTGAGTTCATAAGCCCAGAAACGTGTACGCTTTCAGTTCTATAGTAATATTATCCCCAAAACTGGGTTCCTAGGTTTTTTTTGGGGGGTTTGGAGTTTTGGGTTGAGGGGTTTAGCGGTTCAGGGGTTTGTGCAAGCAGTCACTGCCAGATGCACGCCAGGAGCCGGGGTTTAGGAGCCGTAGTAAGGCTCGGGGTATACAATACTACGAAGTAGCCAAGTCATCCCGATATTATCCACCAATTCAGGGGCGACACCGGGAGTGTTCTATTTCAAAGGCCGTAAGCCGGAGTAATTATCAGTGCTTTCCTTAGAGTTCCTTGCTATGTCCATCTTACACCCCAGAACCCTGCTCCAATTGCTATACTAAGGCCGCTCCCCCAAACTGAAATCCGCTACAAAAACCTAGCAGACAACCCTCAGAGGAACCCGTAAACGGACCCCTAAGGGACACCACTAAGGACCCTATGTCACACCACCGGGAGCCATCCTTGAGCTGCCTTTGCCACAGACCGATCTGAGTTAGGAAGTTTGGGCATGACACGGGCAAGGGGGCAAGGCGCATTGAACTGTTGCTGCGGTATGTATAAGGGAAAGAGAAGAAGGGAACAAGACCCGCAAAGAGGTCTCAAAACTTTCGCCGCTTCTGGGTGTTCGGAAGGTGTAGTAACCGGCAGAAGAAATTGAAAGAGCAGTTTAAAAGGGGCTGAAGGGTTTTGCCGAAAAATGCGGATGCCTTTAGGACCTGACCTACATGCTGAAAGCCTAGACTAGATCCTTAAATCGTCAATCTGCGCAGTGCACATCCCAGGGCTGCCTTCAGCCTTTCCACGGCCGCCGTAGGCACCTCAGAGGTACTTTAAACAACACACTAAATCCCAAACCCACGCCCTGGATTTAGCGGTAAGAAACCCTAAACCCTAAACCCTAAATCTCTAAAGCCTAAACCCCTAAACCCTAAACCGAAAACCTATGGTTTGAAGGTTTGGTTAGCCTGCCGACGGTCCTCTTCACTTCAGCGACCATGGGGCTTGGGGTTTGATGCTTGGGGATAAGCCATAATAAATGGGTAGTTGTCAAAATTATGGTCCCTTTTGGGGTACCCTAACTAATAGGTGCTGTATTATAATAAGGATCCAAAAGGAACTATAATTTTGACAACCGCCCAAATAGGGTTGAGGGTTTAGGGTATGATAAATCGGCCTCTACATTCTACAATATTCAGCCCCCAAAATCACGTTCTTGCTACTAGGTCCTATACACTAAGATACCAAGTCCCATATCTGCCCGATAAAGAGCAGAAGTATTGAAACAAATAAACAGGAGGGGGACACAAGGGCTCAAGGGTCCAAGAACTTGTGAAATCCTTAAGCGAAGAAAGGCACAAACCTGAGACTCCGAAAACCTCAAACCCTTACCGGTCTATGTCCTCAAGCTTATACTGTAAAAGCCCAAGCAATTAGTAATACTCTTCCTTAGTTCCTTGCAAAAAATCTACCATCATATAGACCAAATCCCTATGTCAATTATGTAAGACCCCTCCCTTACCTCCGAGCCGGACACTCTGCAATCCTGAACCCCTTGCAGCTTCTGGGGCAAAGGCGGTGACGTAGGAGGCAAAGGCGGCCTAGGCCGTCTTTCAAGCTTCGCGGTTTCGGCTTGCGGGGCTTCGCATCTCTGACAGTTACTCATAGAGCGCTGGCGTCACTAGTGAGCGTGGCATCAATATATCTGAGCCCCCACCACCACCCAGCAAAAGCAAAACCATTCCCAGGTTCGGTGCCGCGGCAGTGATTGATCCTTTGGTTCCAGTCACCTATATCCTGGGTTTCACTGGGTTACACAGTAAATGACGTGTAACCTACTAACTGCTCAAGCAGCTCACGCTAAAGCCTAATCGTTTAATCCAGAAGACTGACAATCCGAAACCCTAAACCCTAAACCCTAAACCGTATACCTAAACTCCAAACATCCTTAAACCCTACAAGTCAAGTACAACTAAACCCTCAACCCTACCTAAACCCTCAACAAAATCCGAGTAGCTGCGTGTGCCCGGCGACAGAGGCTGCAATGACCTCTGATGAGGCGAGGGTTCAGGGTTCGGGGTTTTGGGACGAGACCAAAATAAATCTCCGTGCCTAAACCCTTAAACCCTGAACCCTAAACATAAAACCCTTAAACCCTCCTATAGATTTATTTGAGTTTAAGGATAAACCCCAAACCCTCAAATCTCAACCCTAAAGCCCTGAACCGGTGCCTTGGCCGCTTCACGCTTTAGGCCTTAGGGTTGTAGGATTCCCGAACAAGGGTATGGGTGTGTTAGGATTGAGGGTTTAAGTGCTTTTTGTGGTTAAAGGGTATGAGCGCTCTGGTATTGCATCTCTTAGTGACTTAGCTCTATATACACAGCACAACGTACTGCGCATGAATGTGAATGCTGGGTCTGAGGGAAGGGCTCGTTCAGCCGGCATAGTGTAACGCCTGACATTTTTGACCCTAAACCCCTAAACCCTAAACCCCAACCCCTTAACCCCTCAACCGTAAACCCTAAACCCCTGAACCCCGAACCCACATCCTCTGACCTGGTTGACGGGGTCCCTGGGCAGGAAAAAAGGTAAGCTTTCAATACTTTCAGCTAGGGTTTCGGGTTTAGGGTTTAGTGGTACCAGACGCAACAAAGCCAAATACCGAACCATGTACGCCTCAAAGCCGCAAAATACGCACTGCCCAAAAGCCCCAGCCACCTTAAACCCCTCGTTCGAACCCCAGCAATGGTCTGAAGACCCCGAAAGCCCCCAACCCTCATATTTTTGAGGCCGGACAAACCCCAAAGGCCCTAAGCTCTAAACCGATTCTGCAGAGTCTAAACTAAACCCTAAACCCTAGACCCTAAACCCTAAACCCCTAGACCCTGAATTCTGCAAAGTCTGCGACCCAAGTGGGGGTTTCCGAAAATAGGGGACCCTAATATAGTACCCTAATTAATAGGATCCCTATTATAAGGACCCCAAAATAAGGTACCCTAATTATCTGAAACCCTAAACCCTAAACCCTAAACCCTAAACCCCAAGTGGCAGTTCGCCATGTCCAGCTTTCCTGAAGGGCCGTTGGGCTGCACCTACCAAGGCGCGCCGAGGGCTCTTCCGCAGGGTCTACAGCAAGTGTTCGGTTTCAGGGTTTAGGGTTTAGGGTTTAGGGTTCAGGGTTTGGGGATTATAAGAGTTTTGAGTTGAGGGTTTAGGGTTTAGGGTTTAAGGGTTTAAGGGTTTCGGGTTTAGAAGTTTAGAACTCAGGGCTTGGGTTTAGGAGTGTGTCAGTGTAGCTTCCAGGCTACTTCAGGACTTGAGGGTCTTGGCCTCTTATGGCTCTAGGGCTTTCGTGGCTTCAGGGTTGAATGTGTCAGAGCTTTTCTGAGCAAAGCTTACGCGCCTAAGGCATGTACTAAGGAGCTTCCGCTTTGAGGAGATACTACAATCGATGCTGTAAATCTGCATTACCGAAAACAAGGAACATACCATAATTCCCATAGTTTAGGGTCCTTAAGGTAATGCAAGATTTATATTATCAACTGTAGCTTTACGGGCTTGTGCTTGTGTTCAGCTTGGCACAAGCCCTCACGGGCACACATAATAGATACTACGCCATAGCCCCTATCGTATGTAGTAATGAAGGAAGCGACTATTACAACTTGAACAAATTACAGGAAACACTGTTTTCCTGAAGCCCAAATCCTAAATACACCCCTACCCTGTCGACCCTAAACCCTCTCGGGCACTTCTGCTGAGTTCGCTTGAGGGTTCAGGGCTTTGGGCTTAAGGGGTTTAAACCCTGAACCCCAAACCCTAAAACCCCAAACCCTAAAACCCCAAACCGTAAGCCCTGAACCCTATAAAACCTGAACCCCAAACCCTAGAACCCTAAACACCAAACCCTGAACCCTATAAAACCTGAACCCTCAACCCTAAAACCCTCTAAAACCTGAACCCCAAACCCTTTAAACTGGCTTCAGAGCTTAAGACATGTTCGAGGTTGAGGGTGATGAGTTTAGGGTTTAAGGCTTTTTTTTTTGAAGCTTGGACCAGCAGGACTGTCTGGAATGGTATTATAGGTGTTAGAGTATATGCTACTATATTGTAGTACATAGTAGTACACTATGAACCGTACATAGTTTCATGTATTATGTGTTTCCTGGTGCATGTTGCACCCAAGTCCATGCCACATCTTCCTGGTCACATTCACATCTGCTTCAACGGCCTGCTGCCGCTGCAGCAAGCTCCATAGCAACGTCGCCGTCGCATGAAGGCCACGATCGACGCCGATTGCCCTAACCTTCCAGTATTCCTTAATTAACGAATATACCTTAAACCATATTCAGGATTCTAGTATATCTAGGGTTTAGGGTTTACTATCCTTTAAGGTATCATCCTGAATTAGGGGATATTGGAAGGTCTGGGCGCAGCCTCCGACGACCTCCGGGCAGGGTGGGGAGCGGTCCTCCGCCGTCGTCAGATGGACATGCCTCCGACGACACTTCGAGAGCTTCGGGTTTAGGGTTTATATGGTTTAGGGTCTCAGGCCTCAGGCTTAGGGTTTAGGGTTTATGGTTTAAGGCTTAGGGTTTAGGGTGTAAGGTTTAAGGTTTAGGGTTTCAGGTCTAGCGTCCACTAAGCCGCTTGCTCTGATCTGGCCAGCTGGAGCTACTGTGCTCGGCCATCGACATGTCTCGAAGGACTTGCTATGTCGACTCGAGTAATAAGGGGCCTTAATAATCAGAATAGGGTTTTGGGGTATATTATACTGTATATAGAATAAGGAACCCCCAAAATAGAATCGGTAATGATTTAGGCCCCTGTATTACCAGCAGGCATGAGACACATCTGCGGATTTCAGAACGGCTCTTACAATCAAGGTACCCGTGACGCAAGCTTCAACTTCAATACCAAGTTACGCCATTACAAGAAACGGGATCCAAGCGAGATCTATCAGCCGGCCAGAAGCCCTGCATCAATCATAAACAAAACCGCTCAGGTGCATGTGAGAACATATAAATTTAAGGTAAGCTACTTGTAGCTCCGGGTGTCTAGGTCAGTGTGCCTGTCCGCCCACTTCATGCACGTCCAAGTTGTTGTTGCAATGCTCAACGATATCCCATTGCCGCAACACCAACCACCTACTGCAACAAACCACAAACCCTAAACCCTAAACCCCTAACCCCTAAACCCTCAAGCTCGAAACAGGAACATCTGTGCCCTGAAACCCTTCGACCTCCACCTTATTAAGCCACAAAACTACCATGATCCTGATATCAGAACCCCCAAATCCTAAATAAACCCTAAACCCAAGCCCCGTGCTCCTAGGTCTTAGGCCTCGTAATGACCCAGACCCCCGGGAGGATCCAAAAAGTAGATCCCTTAATGGGGGGTTGCTATAAAGACTCTTTAGTAGTTAAGGTCCCAAATTAGGGGATTCACTTTTCAGAGCCCACCTTTCGCGCAGGGAACTGAAAACGACAGCCACCGCACTTGCAGCTGCCTTGCAGACTAGAAGGTTTAGGGTGAAGGTTGAGGGTACAGAGCTTAAGCCCGAAACCCTACGCCCTAAACGCTAATGTTTGGGGTTTAAGGTTTAGGGTTCAGGGTTTAAGCCCTGAGACCTAAACCTTAAGGTTTAAGGTTTAGGGTTAGGGCTTAAGCCCTAAGCCCTAAACCCTAAGGTTAGGGTTTGAGGTTTAGGGTTCAGGGTTTTAGCCCTAAGCCCTAAACCTTAAGGTTTAAGGTTTAGGGTTCAGGGCTTAAGCCCTAAGCCCTAAACCCTAAGGTTTAGGGTTTGAGGTTTGGGGTTCAGGGTTTTAGCCCTAAGCCCTAAACCCTAAAACCCAAGGTTTAGGGTTTAAGGTTTAGGGTTCGATTTGGTTCTAGACTTGGCATCCAAAACATTGCGGGCCCGAGGCCTCAGAACTGTCAGGCTTTTTGGGTACGCCTGCTAGGGTTTGGGGTTTTAGGATTTTAGGGGTTTAGGGTTTAGGGTTTTAGGAGTTTAGGGTTTAGGGGTTTTAGGGTTTAGGGTCCAGCGTTCCAGGAATTACGGCGGCTGTTGTCTTGCGGTACAAAGCTTCAGGGCTTTAGGGTCCCAAATCCAGGAGGGTTTCGGGTTTAGGTCTTAGGGTTTAGGGGTTTGGGGTTAGGGTTTAGGGCTGAGGGTTTCGGGCTTAGGGTTTGGGGACCCCAACCCACAAGCAAGCCGTTTGCTTAGGCGAAGGCACCTCCATATGGACCAAGCCCAGCCCTGAAACTAAACCTTAACGGTTCAGGGTTTCGGGTTTAGGGGTTCAGGGTTTATGGTTGCGTCAACTGTCCAAAACAACACAGAGCCTCCCAATAGACCTTGAATACTTCTGGCAAGGAGCCCTTATGAAGGTATCCTGATTCGGAAAACACTGATTACGTCCTGACCTTTACTAAACCTTCAGAACCAAACGAGGTTTAAAGCTTGCATCTTGCCGGACCCCTGTAACTCAATGACTGGAATAGGGCTTTGGGGGTACATTCCTATTTTATACTACAGTTACAAACTCGGGCCGCTGAAAGAAAGTGTTACTGCTCGCTCTGACGTGTATATCGGCGTTTTTGAACCCTAAACCCTACACCCTAAAAACTCTAAGCCCTAAGCCCTAGACCCTCAACCCTAAACCCTAGACCCCTAAACCTAAACCCCCAACCCCTAAACCCCTAAACCCTGGATTACCTTGCAGGATTTTAAATATGAGCCCCAAAAAGGAACTACTATGGGGCCTATGGGTACCTGGAGGTTCATGGGTAGTTATAAATGGGGTTATAAGTCCCCTAATATGGGTTATAATTGCAGTTACCTTACTTATAACCCCACTTATAACTACCCATGAACCTCCAAGTAAGCCCTAAACCCTAAACCCTAAACCCAAAACCCTAAACCGTATACCCTTACTCCTAAATCTAGGGCGTGGGTTTGGGATTTAGTGTGATGGGGCCTATAGGTAAGCCCTAAACCTTGCATTCTTCGCTTTTCTCCGAGCCCAGCTGCCTGTAATCATGGAACC